ATAGAGTCTATAAAAATAAAGTGTCAGGATGTCATGCCGACCCAGTAAGTAAGTATATCTAGAAAAGTAAAAATAAAAAACAGAACACAAAACCCAGTCTACATGTAAAATTAATGAATGACTATATGACCAAATATGCAAAAAAAATATTATTTGGGCACATAATAATTTGTTTGAGAATACGTGGCGGCCATGTTGGCCACCGGCGTGTTCTGCAAATGCGTGCCACCATCTTGGAGGCGGGAAGCATGACGTCACATGACGCCATGCATGCGCGACGTCAGGTGACATCACACGCTGATATAGGCGGCGCCATCTTGGTGTATACCTAGATATACACTAAGATGGCAGCACCTAACACGTGGTGTCATATGACGTCATGCGCTCTGCCTCCAGAACACACCAATGGCTGAATCCAAAATAGCATAAAAATGTGTTTTATTAAACGAATTAAAACGTTTTTAGTTTTCATTCATTTCATCTGAAATTTAATTTTAGTCTTTGCCCATGTCTATTAATACGCGTGTGTGGGGGGAGGGGGAGGGGAAGTTTTCATAATAATTTTTTTATTATTTGTTATAATTTTTTTATTATGTTTTTTTAACCCCTGACATTTACCTTTTAAAATAGAAAAAGAAATTGAGTCCTCAATCTCTTTTTCTACAGCCTCTGTTCTAAATGAATGGAAAGCACTCAGCACAGAGGCTTCCCATTCATTCAGAAACTGATGATAGTAAAATATTTACTATCACCAGTTTCTGAATGTGGAGGAGCCTCTGTAGTGAGTGCTACTCCCCATTGAGAAACTCATGAATGAACAGGAAGTGATGTAAATCACATAGTGTTCGTTCATAACTGGGGACACATAGTTCTATGTGTCCCCAGTTATTTACAAACCTTGGAGTGATCAGATCATCACGCCAGTGTTTGCTCTGCACAGAGGATCGGTAATATCACAGATATTTACTGATCCTCCACTCGGCCACGCACAGAGCTGCTGTCATCCTGAAACTGACAGGATGACAGCGGCTCCGCTCTCCTCGCCGCTTGGCCATCCTGACAGCAGGGAGCGCTGTCATGTCGGATGGCCGAGTGGGGAGGAGGAGAAAAGCTGCGGGCTGTGCCGCCCCGAGGACGAGCTGTGTCGGCCATCTGGCACCCTTGTTGCCATGGCGCCCTGTGTGGCCACACAGTTGAACACCCCAAAGGCCGGCCCTGGTGGGATTCCCTCTCAAAGTCATACCAGGCCCTTAAGGCCCTGGGGGGAAAAAAATGTGGAGTCCCCCCTTTAAATTTCATACCAGACCCTTGATCCCACAAGCACTGGGGCGTTGGTTGTGGGGGTGCTGGCAGGGGGCTTATTCACATCAGGGTACCCATTTAATAAAGGGGCACCCAGATGTGGCCCCCCCTTGTGAATGAGTAGGGAGTACTTGTACCCCTACCCATTCACTAAAGGGTTAAATCAAATTGTAAATGAAAAGACCAGATTTGAAAAAATCCTTCGTTTAAAAAAAAAAAAAATGGATCCACCAACGTAATCCAGGGTCAATCACAACATCCAGCGTTGTCCACGACGACGACAAGACAAAATAAAATAGCAAAACATAAATAGAAATAATTTTTTTTTAAACGGCGTCCTGCCCGCTCGCGACGAACTCCCACCCTAGAATGGCATTTTGACAGATGCAGGCAACATATAAACAATTGGGTGGAGCTAGCGGTGACTGTTTACAGTTGAAGAGCATCTGACAGGTGAGCCATGATTGGGCAAAGTCATCATGACTTTGCCCAATCATGGCTCTTACAGAGTACTGGGTCCTGATTGGGCAAAGTCTTGCACCTGACCTATGGTCAGGTGCAAAGTTTTAGCCAATCAAGGCTTAACAAGGCGCAGTGCCTTATGGGGCGCTCAGTGGGCGAACAGCCCGCCGAATGCCCTGACAGTTCGTGTGTTCGCCGAGCACACAAACTTCCGATGTTCAAGTCAAACTCACGCTCGGCTCGAACATCAAGCCCAACCCTATTCCTGACATTCATTATAACTGAAGAAGTGGTTGGAGAAGCTACAAAACATCTTCAACATTACAAAACAAGTCCAGTTGAATGTGACCAACTCCTTACTACTAGTTATACCGTGATCTGAATGAATGAGAACCTTCACAGGCATGTCAAAAAAAAAGTTTGTTTTTTTAACTAAAAGTATTCCTATTTAACCCCTTACTAACCCACATCAACTGCTTCCTCACCTTAGCTATTATTGTTTTTTATTAATTTTAGTATTTCTATTTTTTAATGTATTTTTTTCCCTTTTAAAATTGTGAGAAAAAAAAAAACACTTTCATTCACAAATAACTTTTCCGTGATTTGTACCAGAAACATAATGCGAGTGTCATTTTAAACAGAACATTTTAAATAATAAAATGGGTGTGTTTTATTTCCTGTAAAATTAAAGTATAATGAAAGCTTTTTTTTTTGTTGTAAATATCTACTGCTAGCAAGCAGTAGATATATGCAAAAACATTTTTAAAAAAAGTTACCAAAAAGGTTATTACTTATCTCTGTCTCTGGCACTCGCTCCCGTCTGAAGAGGCAGCTTGGCAGCGTGCACACGGACAGACACCGTAGGACACAGAAGACACAGCAGTCCAGTCAGCGCTGGGTCAGAGATCTGCACCAGCGCTTGAGGGACTCCCGAAAACAAGTGGAAGGAAGAAGATGATTGGATCAAGAGACATCATTTAAGGTAAGACATTACACCAGCATGTCACTTTAAAAATAGAAAAACACACACTTTTCTTTATGTGTATACATTAGTTAGAAAAGGAAATCTGCAAAGCAAAGCTGATAAAAGAAAGCCTAGTTTGTCCTAAAATAAAGACAATTATTATTATTATACAGGATTTATATAGCGCCAATAGTTTGCACAGCGCTTTACAATATAAGGAAGACATTACAGTTACAGTACAAATCAAGACAAGATGGTAAGGAGGGCCCTGTCCGTGAGGGCTTACAATGGGGGAAAACGATCAAAACTGGAGCAGATGGAATCTGGAGCAGTTGCCCAATCAGCGTCTAGCTTTCATTTTCAAAGCTTAACTGAGGAAACTGAAGAGAGAACCTGATTGGTTGCTATAGACAATTGCTGTTTGCTCCAGCTTTGATAAATCCCCCTCTCTGTGTGCATTACTTTATTATCGTAACCCTATCGTCATTTTCTGCCTTTATTATTGATCAGAATTCTGGAGTGCCCTTCTCCAGGGGATGGCTTCCTCGATCATGTGATCACTGTGCTGTGCCGATCATTGATAGTTGACCATACACTGTAAGTGACAATGCGGTGCTGGAGATGCCCAATTGTTCTCCGAGCACAAATATATAGGTAAACATATATACAGCCAGGGGTGTCCCTAGACCTCTTGCTGCCTGAATTTGTAGGAAGGATGTGCTCTTGATGCCTCTTTCGGGGGGTTTGTCACGGACGGCGGGCTGGGGAGGAGCACCGAGCGGGTATGGAGATGCAGACCCTGCGCTACCATATAGGCAGGTCAAGCAGCCTATATGGTATCCTATAAACTGTATGAAAAGCTGCATTTGCTCTCAGTTGGGAGAGAAGAGAATTTCATATTTAATATTACAGGGGTGTGGAATTCGTATCGCCCGACGCCCGGGACATGTAGTTCCGGGCGCCGGGCAAGTGGTTTTTGCACTGTTTTAGCCCTGCTACAGACAAGTAGCAGGGCTGGCTCTCTTTGAGCGCCGAGAGCGGCGCCGAGAGCGGGGGGCGGGGACGGAGCGCTGAATGAGATGGGGACGGAGCAGAGATAGATTCCACACCCCTGTATTATTAGGCTCAAATCTCGTTATCGTCACACCGCCCAGGTCACTAATGTCAGTGGATGCCAGGAGCCGGGCAGGAAGGCCAGCTAGAGCGTCAAAGGTTCTAAGTCTAAGAGCTCTTAGCAACCTGGGACGTTCTGGACGAAAAGGGGGCGGCACCCCACAAGGACCCAATGAGATGTCATCTGAGGCAACTGCCTCATTATAGGAATGGGCATGTATACAGCCAGGCGTACAGAAGGGATTACATTAGGGATACACCAATACCGATACTAGTATCGGTGCCAATACCGAGTATTTGGGCAAGTACTCGTTCTTGCCGAAATGCTCTGATACTTACCCCGATACCGAAGCTTCCAGTCAGAGGGAGATTCCTTTTGACAGGCAGTGCTGCGAGGGAGCATGGAGCCGGCTTCCAGGGCAAATCAGGAAGCCGGCTTCACTTGTTGCTAGGCAGGCTGGCTTCCTGACCAATCAGAAAGCCGTGCGGCACGTCATGACCCGCCTCCCAGCCTATTGATTGGCTAGGAAGCCGGCTTCACTTGTTGCTAGGCAATCAGGAAGCAGGGTGGCTTCCGGGAGAAAGTCGGGCGATTCTTTCTGACAGGCAGTGCTGCGAGGGAGCATGGAGTTGGCTTCCCGGCCAATCAGGAAACCGGCTTCATTTGTTCCTAGGCAGCCTGGCTTCCTGACCAATCAGGATACCGGGTGGCACGCCATTAACCGCCGCATGGTTTCCTGATTGGTCAGAAAGCCAGGCTGCCTAAAAACAAGTGAAGCTGGCTCACTAACAGCAATAGATGCCATTGGCAATAGATGCCACGTGACCCTGTATACAGCCAGGGGTACAAAAGGGATTAAATAATGATACTTATCACCAAACAGGCTCATAGAGGAAATGCAAAAATTGCTCTGCTCCCTCCACACGATTTGTTACACGGAAAACCTTTTATTAATTTTAGGAAGAGAACAAGTTACGGTAACAGAAAACTAACTCTAAAGCCCCTTGGTTTCCCCCCCCCCATGCTGGCTTCTCAGCTCAAATTATCCGTCACTGGTTGGCCCCTCCAAACCTTCCACGCCAACCACAACATGGCTTCCAAACCCCTCTTACGTCTCATCGTCACTGTGACTCCCCCTTCTTCCGGTTCTTTACAGCCCGCGCTCGGAGCGGCGTACTGACATCACTTCCTGTCGTAGGCAGTACCAGAGTGTGAGTGGCGCGTGTGGACTGTGAGGTGAGCGGGCTTCTCTCAATGAACGCTAACAGCGCCGCCGCAGTGTGTGCCATCAGCCTGGGCTTGGTGGTGGGCTTTGTGCTTGCACCGGTGTGGTGGGCCGCGTGCCGCCATAAATCCCAGTTTTTGTATGAAAGTAGGCCAATTTGTTTAGAATAAGGTAACAGCTGGTGCACCTGAGCATAGCAGGCGACGTTACAATTTGCTAATGACAGTGCTGTGTGCTCATTCCGGGGCAGGGTGCTTCTAGGGATTAGCATGGCACATGGAGGGTCTGCCTGCCTTCCTTTGTTGCTCATCCAGCATCATCTAGTACATTCCTCCTCAGCCTGACTGGTCCCGCCCCTTTCATTGGACAATAGTTCTTTCAATTATGGAGGCTCAGCATCACTTGTGGGTGTTACCAAAGTGTGGGTTGCATGCAAATTCATGCTGACTAGGACCGCCCACTCCTCCAGATTGATAACCATCCATTAACCGCTTTCTGCCCGGAGCATTTTGTTACAATTGCGCATACATGCTCAAATCTGAATTTTTGTGTAGAAAAGCCCCCAAACAATGATATATTTTCTGAGAGCAGAGACCCTGCAGAAAAAAAAAATGCTAGTTGCAATTTTTTATGTTGCACGGCATTTGCGCAACAGTATTTCGAAATGAAATTTAGTGCACAGAAACAATATAATACCCAATTTTTTGGTGACGTGGTCACGTCGGGTAAATAGACACTAAACATGCCAAGCCTTAAAATTGCGTGTGCCCATGAAAATGCAAAAACTATAAACCCCAAAATTGGCCATCGGTGATGCTCTAAAAGCTTTTACCGCTTATCAGTTTAGTGCTAACAGTGATTGATGGCCCCAGAATTATTGCTCTCACTCTGACTTAACGTGTGGCACATTTTTCACGTAGGCGCACCCGACGCAATTCTTAAAGGAGAACTATGGGGTCAGTGTTTTTCCCCATAGTTCTCCTTAGGGTGACGGGAGGACACAAACTAGCGTCCTCCCGTTACCCTAAGCTCAGTATACCGCGAGCTACAACTCGCGGTATACTGAGACGCTGCAGCCGGAGCGGATCCCGACTTAGATGACGGTATCTGCCCAGCTGCGTGAGTGACAGCTGGCTCTGCCTATCTAGAGGCAGAGCCAGCTATACCCGCCCCCTCACCCGTCCATTCCGCCAGTCAGCGCTGGCAGATCGGAGAGGGGAATCCAGCCCCTCCCCCCTGTCACGGCGGAGAGCCGTGACCAGATCGAGAGGCGAGCGAATCCGGTATCTGTTCGCTCACCTCCCGATGTACTGAGCCGACCTGTGACAGTCTCATTGTCACAGGTCGGCTAGAACTATGAGGTGAGTGAAAAGCACTCACCTCATAGTTCTCCTTTTAAGCTTGGCATGTTGGGTGTCTATTTACTCATCTTAACCTCATCGTTTATATTGTACAAAACAAATTGTGTTTTGGTGCACTAAAACTAACTTAAGTGCTTTTTATACTTCATTCATTTTTGGGTTTGATTAAGATTTGCGGTAATATCGTGCAACGTAAACATTTTCCAATGGCCACTGTTTTTATTCTCCAGGGGCTTGGCTTTCAGCAAATCTATAATGTTTTGGGGGTTTAAGTAATTTTCAGGCCTAAAACGTGGATTATAACATGTGCAAAAGATGCTAAAACAGGCCCCGCGCTGCGAAAGGGTTAAACCACTGCCCTGCCGCTGTTATTTGCAAACTAGATCACTGGCTCTGCATGCTGTTGCAGAAGTGAGGGGAACACGTTTGCTATATGAACCGATGTAGAAAAGCGAGTTGCGTTAGAGTCCCATCTCTTTGGCTTTTGTTTTTCTACACAACATGTTGTCATTTGCATTGTCAAGACGCCAAGAAAACTGGAACTTTAGGTGCTTTTTCTTTTGTATGTGAAAGATCTGCAGGCAAATAGCTCGGCGTGTAGTTCTAGTACATGTTTACTGTCTTCTTGTGTCAGAGGATTTCTAAATTTATCGAGTCATGTGACACACCTCTGCTTGTTAGGAAGATCTCTACTTAGTCAGATGGCCGAGTCTGCTGCTGAAGTGATGTAGTTATAATAAAAAGGAATTGAACTCTGAAAGCAGAGGACGCAGAAATGGTCACCTGTGGTCTTCTTACAGCTGATCTTTACCCACTGCTGACTTGCTTTGCACTCTTGCTGTTTGGAGGCTCCCATTTTGGCAGAGGCAGGTCTTTGCTTCCTCATGTCGGAGTGTCCAGCCATAAGAACAATGAGCACAAAATATCCCTCCCTATCACACGAGACTAGCCGTCGGAGGCAGCAAGCAGGCCCTACAGTTGTGGGGGGAAATCCCATCGTGCATCTGCCTCTGGGAGACATGCCCATGGCTGTCAGCGCCGTAGTGACTCATGGGACCTGTAGTTCCACAACAGCTAGAGGGCTGAAGTTTGGCTACCCCTGACTTAAAGGAGAACTATGGGGTTAGGGCTTTTCTCCATAGTTCTCCTATGGGTAACGGGAGGACACAAACTAGCGTCCTCCCGTCACCCAAAGCTCAGTATACCGTGAGCTACAGCTCGTGGTATACTGAGACGCCGCAGCTGGAACAGATCCCGACAATTCTGTTTGGATCCCCCCAGCTGCGTGAGTGATAGCTGGCTCTGCCTATCTAGAGGCAGAGCCAGCTGTTCCGGCCCCCTCCCC